TCGACCAACTCTTTCATCTTGTTTGCTGAAATAGCTTGCTTCAACCTTTGCCATATCTGAGTCTTGCTTCCAGTCTTTCCTATCTTCAGGAATTCACATGCTGTTCTCATCTCCTTGAGTGAACTTTCTGGGCTGAGTTCAACTCCTGCCACAATCATCGCTTCTTCCATCTTTTCTCCTAAGCTTGGCAGTTGCTCTTCAATCTTCTTCCATTCTTTCATATCTTCTTCTGCAGGCGGTTCACTAGGAAACAGGTTCTCCATTGCTTCAGCTGCTTCCTTTTCCACTTGTTCTATGTTCTTCTTTGTGTCTTTTACTTCTTTGTGAACCTCCATCTCCACGTCTGCTGCTTCAACTTCTTTCTCTTGTTCTTTCTTTTTCTTCTTTGAAGCTGTTCTTTCATAATCACCATACTCTTCAAGTCCTAGAGACTTCCTCTCCAAGATCGTGATGATCACCGAGTTCTCTTCAACTGCGTCTATCGCAATCTCTTCTCGGTCTTCCCACTTTTCAGCGCACTCCACAAACTCCAGTTCGCTCCATACGATGTTGTCACCATCGTACCTCGATACCAAAGTAGTTCTGAACTTGAACGCTTTTACATCATCATATGTGGGGTCATAGGTCACATACTTGTCATAATCGATCCTTGCTGGCTTCCCATCTGACATGAGAAACCATCCTTGATGATACTTCATCTTCTCGAAATCATCTTCCATCTGCTTGATCAACGTCAGTTTTCTCACTTGTGGTTCATCACTTTCAACCTTCACTTGTGCTCTGTAAATCTTGAGGTCCGTCACTGTTGAGTTTCTTGCAAACCTCACTGGCACTTTTGCTGAACCTTTCTTCAGGTAAGCATTGAACTGGTCTAGAGGATCAAGTCCCCATCCAACTTTCCACAACTTGCCTACTGCAAATAGCGGTTGTGTTACATCTCCGAACACAGCTGAATCTCTTACCTTTATCACTCTTCCATCTGTCCTTTGAAATTCGAATGTGATGTTCGCTCTTGTTTCAGTGGTTCTTATCCTGTTGCCTTGAGCATCTTGAATGACCATTCTCAAAGCTGGGAACTCAACTGTTCCTAAGTCTTCACTGTAGTAGCATAGCGGAAGTACATGACAATCCGCGCCGCTATCTAGAACGACTTCAACGAGTTCTGAGTAGCTTGAGTTAATAGCTCTTACTCGATGCACTTCTGGCTCTTCATCTTGAACACTTCTGAAAAGTCTTTCTCTTTCTTTTTCATGCTTGGCATTCTGCTTGTCTACTTGCAGATCTTCATACCACTTGTGAAGTTCATCCTTCTCATAGTCTTCTTCATCACTTTCATCAACCATGCTTGACATGAAGATAACTGTGTTGACCTTCACTGCTCTTGCAGCATAGTCCATCACCATTTCTTCGAACATTCCTACAAGATCGACGTACTCTTCATCATCGTCGAACACTTCTTCAATCACTGGCATAGGTGTTGTCACCAACCTACGCACTTGCTCGTTTCCTTTTGCTCCTTGTGGTGGCTTTGCTTGTGCCTGTGCAGAAGAACTTGGTTGCTCTTCATACCATTCTTCCTCGCCTGTCTCTTGGACGTTGCGAACTTTTCCTTTTCCTTTTCCTTTTCCTTTCGGTGGCGACCAACACTCCGAAGAGTAATGTCCGGTCTTACCACAATTGAAACATACAGGTCCGTTTTGTCCACCTTTTCCTTTTCCTTTGTCACTCTCGTAGCCTTTCCCTTCGGCCTGCCTGATGCTTTTTCCTCCTTTCTTTCCGTATCCTTTTCCTTTTCCAGAACCTCTTCCTTTTCCTTTTGTCGGGAGGCGGCGAGCGTCCGCGGCCCGTGGGCCCTCGTCGTGCACCGAATTAACCGTGCTTTGCACGGTCATCCTCCTTTGGAGGGCATCGCCCGTGGGCGGAAGAGGCTACAGCCTACGGGAGAGATGCTCATCCCAGATGTGCAAAGGAGTGCAAGCACGTCCTGGGGAGTGACACGTCCCCGCCCTGAGCTACGGCTCTAAGGCAAAACTGACAGGGCAGCACATCGAGGAGTGTAGCACGTCCTCAAGCCAGGAGTGAGGCACGTCCTGGAGGGAGTCGAAACATCCCATACCTCTCGCCCTCGGGGGGCCCCTGAAAGAGGCGAGGTATTCTGCGACGGCCAGCACGTGAGCTGCCGTCATGAGGTGTGCTTGCATATGTTCCGGGCTAGGTGCCCTCACACGACACGCTATGCACCAGAGCATATCCACACTCACCACTGGGGGGGTGCTGTCCTGATGCAGCTCGACCCCCTCGGCTGTGGTGGCATACAACCTGGCCGTGGTCGATGGCACCCTCATACACAAGGGGTCTCCCAGAGGGATCGGTGTCTCCTCTGGGAAAAGGCGCAGGGCTCGCAAGTTGTAGCCCGTGCGCATATGCAACCTTTCCAAGACTTTTCTGGTGGTTGCATGTCCTGACACTGGCAGCCTGATGACCTGGAGCTGCTGTGCGGCACTCCACGTCGAGGCGGCAGAGCCACTCCGGAGGTGGGAGAGGGTTCGGATCAGGATTCACCTCTCCCGGGCACAACCAGCCGCCTCCCCATCCAGGCCCATTGAGCCAGCTGTGGGGCCTGCTCCGAGCTCTGATGCTCCGGCGGCGGGGATCCTCCCCTCCTGGGAGGGCCGCTGGGCGGTGCTCACCACAGCCGCGAGGCTTCTTCCCTCCTTGAAGGTGAGGGGAAGGTGAGGGGAAGGCACTTCTGCTGCCGGGCTCAGTTTCCGCGACGGGTGCCTCTGTGTCGGCAGGGTCGGAGGTGAGGGGTATTGCACCGCCCTCGCCCCGGGGAGGCGTAGGGGCGGCTCCCCGGGTCTCTTCCTTCGGCCTTTCCTCCTCCACCTCTGCCTCCATGTGGTCTGTGGGGGAAGTTGGCTGTACGAGGTTCGACGTTGGCAACACTTTACATCCATTGTGCTATGAACTGGGGGTCTGGGTACCTGAAAAAAACAACATTTTTGCATTCTGCAATCACCCAGGGGCCGAACGTTTGGTTTTCGTCTGTTTTCGTCTCGTTACCTTATATTTTTGTTTACATCTCCGAAGCACACCAATGCCCCCGTCCCAGAAGAAACACACGTGCCTCGAGTATGTTAGTAGCAACAATGCCACTCTGCCCACTTTCGGAAAGTCGTTTGCGTAAATTCCGGCCCATGTGGTCTGGTTGTGCCGTGCATTTTGCATCGTTGTTTACACTTCCGTTGACCCACCTCCTGACATTTTTCTTCGATCTTTCGTTTTGCAAACGTGAAAGAATTCTCACGGGCACGAGACACCGAGTTTACCCATGTTGTGTGGTTTGAAGCAACTTTCGGTGGTACATCTCTGCCTCTTCTGTTTTGGTGCAGTTTTCAAAAGGCTTTCTAGTACCAGGCCCAAATTTCAGGGTGAATGGAGTTGGGCCTGAAAAGTTGTCAGCAATAACCTGACATTTCCAAGATCAAAGCCTCAAAGGGTTGCAATACCAGTCAGGCCGCTTCTGCTTTCCCACAGCGATACTACATGCCTTGTCTAACACAATCACACATGCCAACAAGCTAAGATTACGAATGCAACAGTAAAAAACAAAACATAAAAACCACAAAAACCCTAAACCCTGAACCCGCCACCACGGCTCCAAACTATACACCATGCTTTCCTAAAACCTCAAACTGAACAGCAAGTGTGAAGAGTTGGGGCTAAGGTGCAGCACAACTTGTTGTCCGATCCAAAATCTGCGAACTCCGGGTCGCAGCTGCTCTCTCTTGGCCATGTTGGGCTTTAAAAAGGGCCTCCATGTTGTCCAGCCCCTAATTATCCTCAACAGTGGTGTCCTCCACTTGGATTGTTTGGAAGATCCATGTGAAAAGTGGAACTTCCAAACAGTGTTCGCATTCCGTCTGGACTCACAAGCCCAAACCTTCCCGAACTGGCGCCGGTGCCATTCCTCTGGGCACTGTTCAGTGCCTGTCTCAACTCGATGAGCTGGCCTTGGAAGTAAGTCTTATGTGCTTGAAGCGTGTCCACGTGGCTTTGCAATCGTTGGTTTTCTGCCTTCAGCCTCTTGGCCTCTCTCTCGGCAGTCGCCAACTCTTCTTCCAAGCAAACCTTTTCCAAATCCGGGACTTCACCGAACTGCCGTCTGAAACTTCGTTTCAAAGGCGGGGGGGCAGGGTTCGGATCTGTTTCGGGGCTTGTGGGCGGAAGCATGTCCAGTCCCACGGGGGAGCCCCAAGCCTCCGTTTCCGGAGTCAGGAATGGCAGTGTGTCGGGCACAGGTTGGGTATCATCACCTGCAGCGGCAGGAAACACACTGGCCACCGCAGGGGAGTTAAACATCGGCCGGGATCTCTTCTTGATTGGGGTACTCGGTGGGTTCGCACGGGTGTCGCCCGACTGGCCCACCTTTCCCATCAGACTGAGACTCATGGAGCTCATGGCACCACAGAAACAGACCGGGAGCCTAAACAACTGGAACACTTTGAAGGACAAAACTGCAGACCGTGGCATTTGCTGCATGCGCATACACACATGCACTCACACACTGCACTGACCTACAACCCTAAACCCTAACTTAGAAACCTACCCCTAAAACCTCACTGTCCAACCCGACTAGAAGAACCCTCATCCCCGAACCTCAAATCGGAACCGTATAAACACTGAGCCGACATTACAAGTTGTTTTTCACTGGTTTTATGCTGGGATCCTGTGCGAGACAAATCTGATTCCCAGCAAGCAATCGGAGAACGGCATCAAAAGAAGCTGGGATCTGGGATTCGGGCCAAGGTGGCTCGGCCCAGCAGACCAGCAAATACACTGCACTGTCACTGATTGTCCCATTACAATGTCACAAAACTGACACGCATGATCCGCGGCGGCACACCTTACCTCGAGCGTGGCAATCATCACGCTGATGCTTGCAGTGAGCCGCTGCTCATGCTTGCAGTGATCCGCTGGCTGACGGGCTTGGCCCTAGTTCAGCTCGCGCTGGCTCTGTCCATCTTCAAATACTCCAGCATTTTGTGCATTCGGCTCCCTTCCTGCAGATTTCCTGCCGACTTGAGTGCCTTCAAGTACTCCTTGGCACAGGGCAGGAAGCACTCACGCCCCAGCAATTGGCGCACTGTGTGCACGTCTTCATCACTTGCGATCTCGAAAAACACCGTGTCGGGAGGCAGCACCATGCTGGATTCGGCTTCCAGCTTGACGACCCAGCCGTCTTTGTTGACGATTCGTTGGACATCCGGTGCCTTCAAGGCATCCACCTCAGCTGCCTTTTCCGCCTCTGTGCTCCCCTTGAGCACTCGCTGGCGAAACCCTCCGATGGTCAAGCGGCCTTCCAGCACCACCACCAGGGTGGGCAGGTTAAGATCCGTGCGGAAGAGAACACTGCAAGTCTTCTTCATCCGCTGTCCGAACTGGACCACGAAGTGGTCTTTCATATCCTCCGGAACGCCCGTGAGACAGGCCCGCTCCTCTGCTCCGCCGTAGATCTCTGACCAGGACCGAAGCAACACATCCCCCAACTTCTTCACCACCGGCTTCTTGCTTATCATCGCCGTGCTGGAGGAAGTGTTCGCACTCTTCATCTTCTCCGCAACCCAGGATTTTTGCAGGCGGTAATATTCCAGGCCCCGGATGGTTGCCGTGAGCTGGCTGCTGCGGGCTTTTTCGAACGCGAGCGGGGAGTTTTTCTTCAGCAAGTTCGGGCCGATGTAGGAGTAGTCCACGGAGCCTGTCGGCTCCAGGGTGCAGCCGCATAGATCGGCGGCAAGAAGTGCGAGGTTTTTCTCACCACCGGACAGCTTCTTGTTGGCTGATGTCTTTGCTGCTGCTTTCTCCCGGTCGTTGATGCTTTTCTTTAACTTACCATGCCAAAGGCGCAGATCTGTCGTAGCTCTTAATGAACTGCTGGATTTTCTCGCGGCTCACCGCGAGATCCTCTGGGCAGGTGCTGTTCTCCCACTCTTTCCACTCAAGGTCCTTCTCTTGCATTGCCTCCTGCACAGAGGCCAGCATCTGGTCGATCTCCTTCACTTTCTCGCTCCTTTCGTCTCGCAGATCCTGGCTCTCCGTCTCCAGGGTCTTTTCCAGCTCCGTGTCCTGAGCTGTCAGGCTGCTGCGCAACCGCAGCCCCACGTCGCTCATGGACTGGATGGCCTTCTTTCGAGCCGCCTCGAAGGCGAGCTTCTCCAGTGGGAGACTCTTGGGCTTCTTCTCCAGCTCCTCTTTCTTCAAGGCCTGTTGGGCCTTTTTCTCTGCTGCAACTTTCGTGGCAAGAGAAAACAGCTCCTCGTCCCTGCTCTCTTCGATTTCTTTCAGCTGGCCGATGTCCTTGGACACCGTCAAAAGCGGCACCGGCTTCTCCAGCTCGGCCTCCCCGGCCTCGAACTTGGCCGCAGTCTCAATGTCCAACCGTTGGCGAGCTCGCTTCATCCTGCTCCCGCTCTCCTCGTGATACTCGTCGAGGTCTTCCTGGGAGCCGATGTCCATGCGCTGTCGCAATCCCGCTCGCAGTCCGTGGGAATCTCGTCCCCTCACAGTTCGACTCCCCGGAATTCATACATGAGTGTCTCACCATGCTTCTGCATGGTCCTCGTGTTGGGGTCCTTGATTTTCTTCTCCCAGGCAACTTTTGCCTCTGCAAGAGTCGAGAACGTTTTGAGGGTGAGTTCCTGTTGTGCCCAGGTGCGGAAGGTTACGAAACTCTCGACATCGTCCGAGATGTTCTGTTTCTCACGGATGTCTTCGACAGATCCGACCGCGGAGGAGAAAGTCCTCTTTTTGGACTGCTCCTCCTGGGCACGTTGCAGCTTCTGGCTTTGGTACCACTGAGCCTTTTCTTCTGGCGTTTTTTTCTTGAGGTCCTCCTTTACTTGGAGGGCTGACACCCGCCGCTCCTTGTCCTGCTCGGACTCAGTCTTGCCGACTTTCGGCCTGGCGCTGGAACGTGTCAACCATCTCTCCGTCGCGAGGCATCCGTTGCAGGCTCTCAACAACGGGTTGCGGCCCGTTGCCGAGCTGCAACTCATGGTCGTGGGTTCCTGGCACTTCTGACACACCAGGGGAGCCGACGGTGTGGGGGCAGCTGCCATGGTTCCTTGCTCAACGTGCCGGAGTGCAAAAGGGCCGCCGTGATGCTCTTGAATATGGCTATACTAGGCAAGGGCATGGGTTCCGGATGTGCACGAAGAAGAACAAAACGATACGAGAAGCATCCGAGGAACACGAGAGACAAACCTGTTTATGGGCTTGCATGTAGTCAGCTACTCTCCAAACTTCCTGCGAAGTATTTCGAGGAGCATGCATTCGAATTGCACTAATCACGTAACCAATTACAAGGTACCAGTGAAACCAGGCCTGGCTGATGCTTTCCTACTGACAAAACCTCATGTCTGTAACCTATGATCATGCAACAGAGTAGCAAGTCACAGGCAAGCTTCACCGGCACTCTACTGTGCACACAGAGACCTATGAAAACTAGAACTAGGTCCATGGCCGTCAAGCCTGTCATCAGGTTCGACCAGAAACTGCTATAGGCTGCACTATGCAATTGTAATTCTAGCTACGAGTCACTCCTTCTCTTGGCGCCTTTCTGAGGGGTGGCCAAGTCTAGCACCAAGGTCCGCTTCAGCTGCTTCCGCAAGAATTCTGCAGGCCACGTTTGGGCTGGTTTTGCACCTACCACAACTGTAGCCGCAGGAGATTGCTTGCCTCGCAGTCTTGTCCTGATGTTGGATGTCCGTCGCACGGTCTTTGGTGGAGTCTTGACGAACTCCGAGAACGCCTCGCCATCTGAAAAGAAAAGCTCTTTTCCAATGGGTCTGATCTCCCCCCATCAAGGCCAAACTGCTGCGAGGTTTTCTCTCCGGGTGTCGCGGAAGTCTCTGATCTCCCCCCATCAAGGCCAAACTGCTGCGAGGTTTTCTCTCCGGGTGTCGTGGAAGTCTCTGATCTCCCCCCATCAAGGCCAAACTGCTGCGTGGTTTTCTCTCCGGGTGTCGCGGAAGTCTCTGGTCTCCCCCCATCAAGGCCAAACTGCTGCGAGGTTTTCTTTGCCGGTGTCGTGGCGGGAGTCTGTGATCTCCCCCGACGAAGGCCAAACTGCTGTGAGGTTTTCTCTCCGGGTGTCGTGGCGGGAGTCTGTGATCTCCCCCCATCAAGGCCAAACTGTTGTGGTGTTTTGTGGCCAATTTTCAGAGCCTCTGTTGCCGAGCAAAGCGAACCGGCCAGCAATTCCTCTGCCCCAGGCAACAACTCAAGCAACTGCTGGCCGGACAGGCTGTTGGGACCAGCCGGGCTCAACACACCGGTGAGATATGCCTCTCGGACCATGGGCATGAGCATGGAGGCCAGGTGTAACGGGTGGAAAGCATTCCCCGTGCCCCTGAGCAAAGCCGCCTTTGTTGGAAAGTGAAGCGCCAAAGTCCCTTCATGGCCTTGGAGCGTACATCTTTCCTCCAAGGAGAGGAAACGATGCAGTGTGTGCTCCGACCAGGGTTTGTCAACCTCGCTGGTCACCACCATGAAAATCGGAGGCCCTGTTGTTCGCAAAGCCATGCAGCGGTCATACATCATCTTCTCCCCGAAAGCTTTCAAGGGAGACCTGTCTAATTCGAACAAAGCTATTTGCCCTGCAACACCCTTGGCAGCATCAATCCGTATTTGTTCCATGTAAGCAACCAGGTTGCACTGTTGGTTCTTGCTGAGTTTCATGGGGTTAAATGGCTGCACCCCAGTGTCCAGCAAGCTCTGTAGAGGGACATGTCCTCCCAGGTCTTCCATCTGCAACGGTGCTGGCAGCTTGGATGCTAGCATTGCATCCCGACGCATTCCTCGCAACCAACATCTCTCCCTGGAGTGTGGGAAAATTCGTGAGAGGTCACTCTTGCATACTTCCCAGTGGAAGAAGGGTACCGAGATCTCCAACCGCCTCATGATCTCAGCAAGGAACGGACTTGTCAGCAGAAGGCTGCTGTTCTCTAGGACCACAATGCATAGCTGACCTCGCCACGCCTGCTCGATGACCATGTTGATGGTCTGGTCCATAACATCCGCACGGGCATCCTGACAGCCGGCTTTTTCTCCGGACGCCGACCACGGTTGGCACGGAGGCCCTCCCACCAAGGCTTCACAGGTTTCCATTTCGAGCAGGGAGAGACTCAGAATGTCCCCCTGCAATGGGCCGATGTGAACCTTGGCCAAGGTATCCCCTGCCGCACTAGGTTCGTGCTTTTGCAGGCTGCTGTACAAAGCCCCTAAGGCAATATCCACATCGTAAGCTGCGGTGGCTTCATACTGACCTCCGCAAGCCAGAATCAGCCGACGCAGGCCCCCGATGCCGACACAGGGTTCACACACCCGCAAGGGCCGTGACAGCAGCCGGAAAGGGCCACCCAGCTTGTAAAGCATGTGCTAACGAGACCGCACAGCTAGTTTCTGCGGAAGCCATGCCAAAGGCAGGGGAGACACGGGGAGACTCGGTCAGCAAACGGCTGCTGTGTGAAAGAATTGTATGATCTGCACTGTAGCATGTGCAGCAGAAATCCTCACTTTATCATAGGAGCTGGCGCTGACTGACCCGGAAGCACAAATTTACGTTATCCTAGCAAGACACTAAACCCACACCCCAAACTGCGACTCGTTGACCTCGTCATTAAACAAATCTGAAGCGACCTGAAAACCCCAAAGTATTTCCCACGTGTGTTTCTCTTGTCTCTGCAGCAAACGAAATTCTGTCGATGCAAGGGTTTGAATGCAAACCCGGCCATGCTCTTAGAATGTGCTGCAGTTCTTTCGAACCACAAGCAAACTGAAGAGACCGGCAACTGGCGGCAACCACCAATGTTGTGGCCCTCGTGCACTCGTGCAATTCCAACTGGAAACCAGCGGCTATACAAGACATCTTCATGCTTCATCTTTGCGGCGGCTCAACAGGAACTTCTCAGTTCTGAAGATCCGGGACGAAGGACGCCCCATGGTAAATGGACCGACCGGGTGGCGGGCCCTGATTCATTCTCGCCACCACAACCACCACCAGACTCCGTTTGTTACTTTCCAGCACCATTTCCAGATGGGGGGCGGCGGAACTGGAGACCTGGACCTCTCAGCTCTGTCATTCCCCCCATTGCTCCCAGAACTGCTCTCGTTGCCGCCTTGCTCTCTCGCAGGGGATGGTGTCGCTTGACGACCTCGTTTGCCCATGACTATGGGAGGAGGCGTGTGTCTGTGAATTCGCTGGAGATACTGGCTTGAGAGAAGAACAACCTGCGGCTGGAGACTTCACGCTTGTCGGCATGTCGTTACCACCAGAACAGCAACACTTCACGCACACACTGCCCGTGCATGCTTGGACATGCACGTAATGCTACAAAGACTACCAAGCTGATGTGGTGTGAACACAACGAATATCAAATCTGACACGAGCATAAACATTCATTGAAAAACTAACCCGAAGTGACCAAAACAACAAAAAAAACACAGATAACGACAACAGTCAATAGAAACACCAAAAAATGGCCTCCGGAAGCGTCTGGCCGGACACCCCGGGCGTCCGGCCGGACACCCCGCGCGTCCGGCCGGACACCTGCCAGGACAGTGCGGGCCTGGAAACAGGCAGGAAACGCTATGGAAAGGGGCGGGACAGTGGACGCCGGTGGCGGACACGGCGGGACACGGCGGGACACCGGCGGGACACCGGTGGGACACGGCGGGACACGGCGGGACACCGGCGGGACACCGGCGGGACACCGGCGGGACACCGGCGGGACACCGGCGGGACACGGGCGGGACACGGGCGGGACACCGCGGGGCGGGACACAGCGGGCCACGGCGGGACACAGCGGGACACAGTGGGACACCGGCGGCACGAAACACCAGGATATTGGCTTTGGTTTGACGGACAAGATACAATACATAGGAACCATACGAAGTAAGAGTCGGCTCGCACATGGCAGGGTAATCTCTGTGCACATGCAGTGTTCTATGCACATTTGATGGCCTAATGATTCAAAGAAAGAGTCGCGGCCTATCATTGGAGAGTTTTGCGCTTCTAGCAACACATCGCGAGTGATTCACCAGCATGATTTATCGTTGGAGGCCTATGCTACTTCAAACAGAACATGCTTCCACAACAAAGGCTTATCAAGCAGCTGCCCCGGCTTTGAACAAGGCATAGGTTGGAACAACTCAAGACTTTTGCAGCTCACAAACTAGCAGCTCTGAAGATCAACTCCGAAGGACTCTCAAGTCTCCCAGGCTTCTGCTGGCGGCTGCAACGGAGGGTCGTTGCTGTGAGAAAAGGCAGGCATCTCCCGAGCACAACATCTTTATCCATGTCTCACCTTATAAATGATATCCAAGCTTCAAGCAACACTGCAAACCTTCTTCGAGGGAAATCGCCTTTGCACAAAGCCCAAGCCGAGATCATTGGCACGGTGGCTCCCGGACAAAACACACCTTTAAACATGCATCACCCTGTACCTAAGACTTAAAAGGTATAGGGGGAATGCACACTTTCTTTCAGGGAGCTCACCGACTCATGAAACTCGAGATCGAGCTCACTGAGGCTCACTGCCGCTGCTCTGCCAAAGCCAAGTGAAACCTACAAGCGGCTACAGGATCTTCTCGCCCAAGGCTAGCAGCCTCTCAAAGACCACCAGCTTTCGCTGATCTTCACCACCAGCACCTGCCGCAGCTGCAGACATGAGCGGTGCTTCCTCGGCCACCACTGTCCCTTCGGTGCCGATGGCGCCTGTGGCCCAGAAGTCTGCTTCTCTTGAAGCCTTTCGGAAGAGACGCGGCGACTGGGGCTGCGCTCCAACTCCCGCCGGAGCCCGCTGCGGGTTCGGCTGCGGGAGTCCATGCGCTCGCCTCTGCTCCGCAGCCGCAGCACGGTGCTCCGGCTCCCGCCGCTCGGGCTCCCGACTCTCCAGAATCCGCTTTGGCTCGCGAGACTCCCGAGTCGCTGAGTCTCCCGGGACCGCTCCAGTCGCTGAGCCTCCCGAGGCCGCTCCGGCCGCTGAAGCGCCCGAGTCTCCCGATGCCGCTCCGGGCGATTCTGCGGTTCGGCCGGTTTTTGCGACCCACAGCCCTG